CAGCTGTGGTGAGATCTGAACTAATCTGTAGCTAAGGCAAGAGCATGCCAGGCTCAATGCAGTCTATCTTGCCTCTCTATCCCACTTCCAGAGCGTCCTGTCTCCTTACCGTGATGGTGCACTTGGAAGAGTTAATTTGGAATCCTCATGAGTAAAATCTGTCCCTCAAAATTTAGCATCAAGATCCTCATGAAGATTAGAATGAGTTTCTAAACAAAGGCAATGGATTAGATGTTTGCATACTGCCTTCCTCTGGAGCAGTTTCTTTCATCAGCTAACATTCAAGTTTTGATTGGGTTTTTATTGAGTAGAATAAAAGAAACTTTACAAAAGAAAGCCTAGAAAACGAGAAGCGTCATCAATTCACATTGTTGGGGTTTGTTTTCTTTTACTCAAATGTTCTTTTAAAAATGCCAAGTATCTGAAATCAAACACTCCTCTTTTCATACTGCAGAGGAAAACAAGGTCCAGCCTATGAGACTGAAACCAAGACTCTGACCTCACCTCAACAAACAGAAATCTTCCTAAAAAACCTGTCCCAAAGCACTGCGTTCTGTCATACAGATTATGATAGCTATTGTCCCATACATAAGCAACAGATTCAAATGGGAAAAAAAAATGTTCACAGTTTTAATGAAAACAAGACTGAGTCTAAAACAATACAAGCCAAAGCTAATAAGCTTTACTTGAAAACAGCCAGGGAATGAGCTTAAGGAGATACAACAGCCTATGAAGTCTGAAAAATAACTGAGAAGCATTCCTGCACTGCATTAATCCAAAGAAATGGATGAACAACTATTCAACCTCAGAACATGACTGAATAAAAGAGGTTAAAAAAAAAATACTAATCAAATGTGGTCTTTATCAGGTCAAACTCATTTTCCAGACATAGGAAAGACGAGAGATCACCTTCATACATGGACCATTACGTCCACAAGCTTACCCTGAGTCTGCATGCTGCTGACTGGTCATAGGAACAAAGTTCTCCCTACCCCTTCCTCGTTCAGCAAGCTCTCTTTCTTCCCATCTTCTGCTAAGAATGGAAGAAGAAACAAAGATCTCGAGTAACAAAAAGGAAAAAGACAAAAAACTCACAGAGATGGTGAAGAAGCACTAACAAGAACTGGGATGGAAAGAGAACCAGTGATGGCTAAAGTCTGCACACCTGGGCTTTTGTGGTGCTTTTCTTTATGGCCCTGATAACAACAGCCCCACAGCCTGGCAGAACACTCCAGCAACCCCCAACACAGTGTAACTCATTTAGCTGAAGACATCCTCCAAAGACCACAACAGCGGTGGGCTCTCCTACTCAGTCCAAAACATTTGCATTCACACAAATCAAGTGACATCTGGGGTAATTCTGATCTTTTTTAAAAAAAAAAAAAAAGAAAAAAACAAAAAAAAACACATTTTGAAAATTACCTTAAAAAAAGAAAAATGTTACAATTCAGCATGCAGAACTCTATGACAATCAATCTGCTCCCTTGTATGTGCTCTTTTCCATAGTTTTTCTAGTCCCAGCGTCATTTGAAATGCCACAACATATGTTTCTGACCTACTGCAAAATTACAGCTCTCATTCAACAGAAATTAGAATGCAAGAAACAGATGTCAGGCAAGGACCTATTGCTGTAGCAGGAAATACCACTCTGCAGCCAGAACTGCTCTTCGATAGCTAACAAAATTACACTACTGAAAAGAAAAAAAAAAAAAATTCTGAAACACAAGTCTTAAATGCGCTCCATAAGTGCAATTCTCCTGTAAAACTCATTCACTGGATCTCAGTCTCAGCAGACACAATTCTATCCATCTATCACAGTTCTTCTAAAGAAATAACTCCACATCAACCAACCGATGCGTTCAACTCAGCCATGCAGAAAGAATCATAGAATCATAGAATCATAGAATGGCCTGGGTTGGAAGGGACCTCAAGGATCATGAATCTCCAACCCCCCTCCATATTTATTACTAGACCAGGCTGCCGAGGGCTCCATCCAACCTGGCCTTGAACACCTCTAGGGACAACTTCTCAGGGCAGCCTGTTCCAGCACCTCACCACTCTCACCACTTCCCTCTGACAGTTAAATCTTCCCTCCCTCAACTTAAAACCATTTCCCCTTGTCCTGCTGTTATCTACCCTTTCAAAGAGTTGATTCCCCTCCTGTTTGTAGGCTCCCTTTAGGTACTCAAAGGCCGCAATGAGATCACCCTGCAGCCTCCTTTCCTCCAGGCTGAACAAGCCCAGCTCCCTCAGCCTATCTCCGTAGGGGAGGTGCTCCAGTCCCCTGATCATCTTTGCAGCCCTCCTCTGGACCCTCTTTAAGCTTCAGAAAGGTTCCCCAACACCCGCAGCGATACCACCCCATACCCCACAGCACCCACTGACAGAAGTTGACAAAATCCTTCAGACTTGCACAAATGCACTTAAAAGACTGCAGTCTTGCTGAGGTGAGGCACAGCTCCCCGCGGTTTCACGAGCCTATCAGAAGTTGTTGGGCAACACCACATCCGAGCTGTTCCACAGTGTTTCTCATAGCTGCATGATCTGCACAGCAGCACCGAAGGTGTGGCACATCACACCAACGGTGATGCTCCACAGCATTCTTGCCAATGCCTCCAGCTACTCTGCTTCCAACTTCAGTGTTAGTCTCAGAAATGGAGGTGCGTGGAATCAGCAGGCATCTGCACGCAGTATGTCACTGCACTAATTTAAAGCAATTTTCAGTTTCTTTAGTCCACACATGAATTTTGTCTCCTCTTAAATGCTCAATTACAGCAGCTGCAACAGCAGCCTTACCTCTGGATCTTCAAAAATGTGTCCTGTGCTCTTTTGACAGCCCTAAAGCTCCCAGAGCAAATGCACACTGCTTTTCTGTATTGCTGTGCAGAGCACCCATGACAGGACTGAATACTGAGGAAAACAGGCTTTCCTTCACAGAAGTGCTTAAAACTCCAACTACACACTGGTAACAGCAGCTCTTCAAAAGAGCACAGACCATTGCTCTTTAACCTGGAACAGAAAGATTCATAGTTGACCAGCACACCTGCCATCAGTGCCTGCCATTGCTGCTTCCTCAGAGCCTCCTTAACAATGCTGCAGGTAGCTTCTCGGGGAACTGACTTAGGCCAAACGAGTAATTCAGGCTGGTGTACATGCTTCTCAATTCCCTAACCTTGGTAAAGCTGGCTTCCAAATACCAGCCTCCAATGCAGCACCATTCCACAGCACAGTCAGAAGCCTCCACAAGATTCAGAAGTGCATTCCTAATTACCCTGTGCAGTACTGCTGCCATCGAGAGCATTCACAGAATAGAGGAAGAGGTGAATCACAAACGTCTGTCACTCACTCTGTGTGACAATTCCAGGCCCTCAAATCGCAGTCAAGATAGTGACAAAAATAGCCACTGTTGGTCTGAAGTGTGAACGCACTCTCCCACCCATGGGCACTGCCTTGCTATCAGTGACCAGCCAGCCATGCTTCCTGCATCGCTATCTTCACCCGCACTCCTTTTCTGGAAAGGTCAGCAGTACTCAGCAGAGGACGGGCCGCGAGGTCTGAGTCATTCTGAGACAACGCGCAAGGTGTCGGATGCTGTATAATTACACTTTGCACAAAATTACCTTTAAACGCTTTTCTGCAGCTGAAGCAACAACATCAACAAAGAGAATCGAGTCCACAGGACCTTGGAAAACAGCTTCAAAGGCAATGGGAAATGCATTACATTTTTACAAGATGTTTATGTCACTTTATTTAATTGTACATTACCAAGCTGCAGTGAGTAAGAAGTTGCATTTACTGTGGACAGACAGAAACCAGTATCACGTATCTCTCAAAACTAATCTCCCTGAAACAAGCACAGACAAGAAACAGAGAGCTTAACTCTATACTTTTAGGAAGCAAACCTAACAACATACACCAGCAGCTGTAGCTCAGAAGGAATGCACTGCATTTTACCAGATGAATAAGAACACAAAAGTCATTTCTGAAAATAATTATTTTTGATTAAGCTGACACGAGCCTGCTGTTTGCCCATTACAGTGTTTGAGATTCAGCATACCGACATTCTTTCTTACCTAGTAGTTCTCTATACAAGCTCTGTGCGACTCCTCAATGTGATGGACTTTATTAAAAGCACAGTGACGGGAGGCACTCCTTGAGGCACAGCATCATTACAGATCTGCTTGTTCCCCATGAGCCCAGCTCCCTCCTCCTGCCCCCAGACACTGGCAAATCGCCGCATGCTCAGCAACCCCCTTCTGGGCAAACACCTCCGACTGACAGAGAAAACGCTGTTCTGACTGCTGACCTTTTTCCACTTGGGAACATGCCCAGCAGGACCCTGTACCTGCAAACTGGCCTATTTTTAAAGCTGAGAAGCTCTATGAATAGCCGAGGATATGTTTTTAGTTAATCTACTTGAAGCTCTCCGCAGGGTGGTTCCCTACTGCCACGTGCTTCTGGATGACACCTTTGCTCACCCAACAGCCTGCAGACAACAGTTACTGAGTTAGGTGTCTCGCAAAGAACTTTTTAATAAAGAAACACAACAACAACAACAACAAAAACAAGTTTTCCTGCACTCCTTCTTTTCTTCAAACCACTCACGGGGATTATTCCCCTACAAAGCATCCTCCCCCGTAACCACAGCACTGCAGTGACGGCGCTGGTTCTGCCACAGGAAGCAGCAGCACCACACCTCGGCTCCAGGAAGCTGCCACCGCGGGAGAGAACTCGGGCAGCACACTTCCCACACTACAGCACAGATTCTGCTAGACAAAGGACAGCCACCTTTCCTTAAAAACGGGAACAACCTTAAAACACAGCCAACACGTCCCTCCATCTGTCATTTCCACCCGCAAGGCTCTGCGTGCTGCCACGCACACAGCAGTGCGGTGCTGCTGCTGGGAGCAGACCCAGCCGCGACCACGCATGCCGGGCTGCTCGCGCTTTAGCGCCGAGAAGAACTGCCCCCGCTGCGGCTGGGACGGACAGAAACGCACCAAAATCAGAGCCACCACCGCAGGCTGTCAGTGCAGCCGTCCGTCCAAAGGCTGCATTTCTAACACCGGGACGCGGAAACTTCGCAGGCAAAGCCCTCCAACAACAGCACCGCGCGACCGGTGCGAGGGCGGTTTTGCGCGTTATGGAAGCGGCGAACAAAGAGCCCCGCGGGGAGCTCCGCACGGCTCGCAGCGAGCCCCGCTTCGGCCGCTCCTCGGCTGTCGGGGGGACCCGCGCCCCAGCACCTCGGCATGCCGCTTTCAGTTGCGCTCCGTAAAGCGCTTCCAAACGCATCTACTTAAAAAAAAAAAAAACAAGAAGTAATCTGGGGTAGCCGAAAGCCGCACCGGCAGCACGCACCGCGCCGAGGCACGCAGCTCCCGGGGCGAACAAAAGCTCTGCGATCCCGCATTCCTCCGCGCCCGCGGGAGCGGGGGGGCGCGGGCCGAAGGGGCCGCGGGCACGGCGCGCACACAAAGTCCGCCGAGGGCCGAGGCTGCGCTCCGCCCCGCACAAAGCCGGGCCCGGCCCGGGAGCGCAGCCGCCGAGCCCTCGCCCTCCGCCCGCCGGGACACGCGGCAGCCGCTCGGCCGCGTGGACGGGATCTCCCCCGGCCCGCCGCCTCCTTCCCACCTCCCGCGGGGAGGGCCCTGAGCCGCACCTCCCGCCGAGGGTCCCGCGCTTCGGGGGGGTCGGGGTGTGCGCGGGGCGGCGGCCGCGGGGAACAAAGGAGCGGCGGTGCCCGGGAGAGGCTCTCGGCCGCCGCCCCCCGCCGCGCTCGGGCCGGGCCGCCTCGGGCCGGGAGCGGCGTTAGGCCGCGCGGAGCACTCACCGCTGCAGCACCAGGAGGAGGGCGAGCCCTGCGGGAACTTGGCCGAGTCGGGCGCGATGCAGACGCTGGAGCCGAGGTGCGGGCACTCCATGGCGGCGGGGCGCGGCGGGCGGCTCCTCGCGGCTTTACGACGGCGGCGGCGCCCCGCGCACAACAGCCATCTTAAGGCCGGGCCCGCGATCCGCGCGCCGGGCTTTGCGGGCAGCCGCCTCCCGTCCGCTCCCTCGGACCGGACCGCCCCCCGCCGGGCTTTGCGAGCAGCCGCCCCACGTGCCGGCTGGGCGGTGCTGACGCGCGGCACTGGGGCCGGCCGGGCCGCTCCGCCCCGCGCCTGTGCTGCGTTGGGCTGTGCGGGAGCGGTGCGTGGGGAGCACCGGCACTCGGCGCCCCGTGTCAGATGCAGCACAGATCCACCGCCGCAACGCCCCAGGAACAGGGGAGCTTTTTAATCCCTTAATCTGCTTCATTACCGTGACTCCTGCGCGGTGATATCGCACCTTTTCTCTGCCCCAACCAATGTGAAATACATAGGATCGGTCTCACAACCCCGCTGCAATACGACTGTTGCTGCACGTACTGGTTTGTTGGCTACGATATTTTACGTGTTTTATACCGCACGTGCAAATGTGGACTTCATGGGAGCTCGTTCTCAGGGGGCTTCGCCACCAGCAGGAAGCACCTCCGGCTGTAACAGTCTGCCAGCGAACATCACCCTGTTAGCACAGAACACGAGCCTCGTAGGAACCTTTCAGACAAAGGTGAAAATGCACGATCCGTGGCAGCAAAGCTAATGAGCACAGGGGACCATGAAGAAAAATACCCTGTAAAATGCCAAGAGTTACATGGGCAATGTACCGCTTTCTACGAGACTTCCTCTTTTCATTCCGGAAGGCAGCAAACTTCTCACAGAAAAAAACAAACGTGGCTTTGCTTTAAGAGGTTCTGACTATTAGCTGTACTGCGTGACTGTTCAGCCTGCAGTACTATGCAGGAAGAAAAGCGTCCCTTCTCCCCTGCTGTGGAATTATTAAGATCTCCACAACAAAGGAACAAAAGGAGCCCGGAGTTGCAGGAAGGTCAGTAAGGGCCACTTAAGGGCCCTGAGCAGCGCTTCCTGCAGCGGCAGACACTTACGCTTTGACTTCCCTAAATACGGAGGTGTCAACTCACCAACACAGCCCCTCCTCTTCCACTCTTAGGAGCCATAGCCATAGGGACTGTGGCACTTTGCTCCTCTGCGTGGTAATGGCAGAGTTTATTCTTCCTTTCATTTGCTGTCTGACAGTGTGATCTTGCCCAAATATTTGCCCGTTTCTTGATTTTAATTGCCACGTTTGTTCCAAATGTGGTAGCCCACATCCATCCCATGTAGGGGGAAAACTGGAATAGAAGCCCCAGGTATTATTTTCAGTTTGTTCATTCAGTAAGGTTCATTGAGGAAAAAGAAAACACATTTAATTTGGAACTGGAGCCCCATCTCTTTCTCCCATCCTTCCTCAGCTCAGTCCAGTTTAGATGATAGCTAAGATAACTCCTGAAGTGCCTTCAGTTATTGCACTCATAACGGGTGCAAATCACTGCATAACAGGGACCTCTGAGTCAGCATTTTAAGTTAGAAGTTTCCATTTAATATAGTACGTCATCAGCTCTACTGCAAGAGAGAGATTCCATACGGTGTCCTCATGTCAGATATATGTAATCATCCATCTGTGCTATAGGCTCCATCTAGGTTTAGAATTTGGCCCTAAAATGGTATCCTGCATACACACCTACAATTTACTGTGGGTAGTTTTGCCTGGGGGGTTCTTTAATTCTGCTGTATTTCTCAGGGATAAAACTTTGGTCTTAAATATTTGAAAATATTAACCTGTGTGTGTACTATGATTTGAACTGAAGATACAAAAGCAGAAGTTAATGCGTGATCTTGGCTTCCTTCAAAATCACTGGGTGGACATCATTCAGGGGACCAAGTGAAGCAGTTGTTGCCTCGAATGACTTCCTTGTTTGCTGTAGGAATTGGAGTGAGTGGATGGAATGGAGAAGGAAGACACTGGAGGAGTGGAATGGATGCTATCCTGAGGAACTAGAATCTGTCTTCACCAGAAAATTCTTGAGTGATGCAGGGGAAGGTATTTAAACCAAAATTTTAATTGTCTGCTTAAGTTAAAGGTCGAATCTCCTTCCTGACTGCAGCTGAGGAAAAGAGGCCAGCTTTGTCCAGAACACAAATGTTGGAGTCCTCCTATCTCTCCCAGCTAAAATTTCTGAATTAAATACATAAAGATAGAGATAATATCCTCTCCCACAGCATGCTTCTTCTTTTCTAAGTGGTGAACTCAGCACATGTAGAAAGACATTGGCACACGTACCAAGTTTAAAAGGTTGTTAGCAGACCTTCTGTTCTGAGCACATAAAGCAATAAACACTCTGAGAACACCAAATGCCTCTCCAGACCTAGCAAAGGCATGTGAGATTGCACTTCCACCTCTGTGTATCGCACCCAAAGAGCAGACAGTTCTCTGCGTTCCCAGCAGTGTACAGGTGCAACGCTCAGTTACAGTGGTGATAGCAATGTGGACAGTACAGAAACCTGCAAGGAAGTGAATTATTTATTCTGTGGATGCAACTCCGAGGCAGACAGCTGGCCTGAAAAAATCAATAGAAACCATCAGGATGTGGCTAAGTAATAACACCGGGTCTCGGCTTAATAAAACCCTTACCAGAGGCTGGTCTGGCACTCAGAGAGATACATACCATCTGTGCAATGAGCAGCAGCTCAGCTGCATCATCTGTAAGCTGCAGCACATTGAACACCACAAACACCTTTCTGGCTGCAGGCTGTGTCATTAGCAAATCTATTTCCATTTCCTGCACGTGTTCTGAAAACAAAGGTCACACACTTTTCCAGCACACCACAAGTTTCTCCCTCTGCACAGTCAGTAAGGATTTCTCCCCACAAGGCGAGGCGCCCCAGGTAAGGCAGACCGCCAAGGCCACGCAAAGCCCCGAGCGAGCGCGGAGCGGAAACGAGAACTCGAGGCGGGATGGGGCGCGTCCGCCGCCAGGGGGCGCCGTAGCACAGAGCACTGCGGCGCGCTGCGGAGGGAGCGTCCCCTCCTGCACTGCGCCCCGCCTCAGTGCTGAGGAGCTCGCTCTTGCGCGGGGCCGCGTCCGCTATAGAGCTGCTCCAAAATTGTCTCCAGTTTACAACGCAGCGTTAAAAATGCTGAGTGTCAATGCAGAAAGTGAGAAGACTGTGGCAACTTCATCCCCCACATGAGAAGGGAATCCTAATGGCTCTAGTTCGTTTATTCTGAGCGCTGTAGCTGTAGAAAAGAGTGGTAGTGGAAGGCAAAGAGAGCAGTGCAATAAACGTGCAAGGAGCTGTAGTACCTTTACCAGAATTCCTTTTTCTTTTTTTTCCCTCGCTAACTTTACATTTTTCCACATAACTCTGGGGGCATCCTATTAGCAAAGGAATGCTTTAACTGTGAGCCAATCTTTGCCCGTACTGTCATGGCTTGGTCACACTGCAAGGTATGAATACAGGTGAATGTGATTATCCTCTGTGGTATGATTATTCTCCACGAAAGACGTAAAAAATAAAGAATATAAATGAACTGAACGGCTTGAAAATTCTCCACATTGCTCCTTAACATGTTATTTGTACAGAAGGGGGCTTATTTTTACTCATGCTTTAAACAAATTGCTGAAAGTTCTCTTCTGTCTGGCAGCTTTCAATGCTGGCTTCATCAATTGCCTTCCAGAGTCTGTTCAATAATGCAAGTGCACTCAGCAGTATTTCATGTCACTGGCCTTTAGGCTCCCCAGCTTTAACTGTAATCATTAGGTAAATTTTATATTGTTTCCAAATGCATTCTTGAGAATATTGCCCCAACTCTGTACTCATCTTAAGCTGCTTTTAAGATCATCAGGCTTTATTTCATTGTATCTTAAACAACAGTGAACACTTTCTTGTGAGTTACCTTTCAGATTTTAAAAAATACGACTCAGTTTACACAGTGCATCAGAGCACAGCTAAGTCAGAGTTCTCCCACGTGCCTTTTGGAAAGACAGCCCAGCCTTACCTATCTGACAGGAAAATGTGACAGCTTGGACCAGCCCATCCATCTGATTAAAGAGGGAATACTGTCTAAAAGCACTCAATTCCAGAACCTCCACGTCATTGGTACTGTTTATCATGTTACATGAGGCAAAGCCATAGAAGTTCCTATGCAACAAGCACCAAGTATGTAGATGAGATGCACGTTTTGTATTTCACCACTAAAATTAGTTTGTTAACAAATACAAAGAGAATAGATGATAATCCAGCCACAGAAATTTGAAGAATTTATCTGATGATCATGGCAGGATTGGAGAGGGAATTTGGAGATGGTATAAAATTATACTACTTTAGATAAGTCTTGGGAAGTGTAAAGTCCCATTGTCCATGAAAACAACTTTTATAGAAAGTATTGTAATGGTAGTGTTTGCCTTAATATCTGAAGTCCCGTTCCAAACACTTACAAAAGCTCTGATGAGAGTCTCAGGATGAACTAGTCGAACTGATGACTTTTTTTCACCACTCTCATTGGCTATTTCCATGTAGAGTATTCCTACAGTGAAAATATTGTGTCTGTGAACTGTAACTGAGCACACACCGTATTACCTATCCTTTTACATTAAACAAGCTTGCTGACAGTCAAATTATTCCACAGGCTCTTTTTGCTTCTTTGCTTGTTGTAAGCTACAGGAGCATTGCATCTCTTCTCTGTTGCACTTCATTCTAGTTTTGTTTGAAGACTTTTGCTGCCCACTATTCCTTGTACTGTACTGCTCATTTACTGGATTTTAGTTCTACTCTATTGGCCACAAAGCAATGTAAATATTAACAAAAAAGGTTATGCTCCAATAACTTGGAGCACTTAGATTCTAAAGCATTTTGCCTGCAAAGCCAAGTGTTTGTGGGAAAAACTTGCCATCGTACACAGAGAGTACACACACATCACCAACAGCTGGGCTGAATGAGACTTGTGTTACTCCAAATGACAGCATTTTATTCTCTTTGGGATGAAGTTAGACCAGAGAAGTGGAAATTTAATTCCATGTCACTAGGAAAGTATAATTTTGTCATCATGCTATTCTTCGGGCTCGATTGTTCACAATGTTGAGCAGCAATCTGAATTGAAAAAGGAGATCATTGTTTAGATTTCCTTTCCTCACTACCTTCACGTGATGCCTCCTAATTCAAGGACTGAACAAGGCGTTCTGACACTTTTCTGTTCCAGGTGGAGTTTGAAACTAGGATGGTAATATATGGTGGGAGGGAGATATCCAGCTTGTTCTGAAATAAGAAACACAGAGATCTCCTATCATCAGTATTAGATCACAGAATCACAGAATCAGCCTGATTTACTCACTGTAGCAAAATGTGAATGTGCCAATGGCTCTTCAGTTCTGCAGCCAGAGAGCATCCATGAACTGCTGACACAGGTAGCTCTGAACTTTGAAGAAGAGAAATGCAGCTGAGTTATAGAGCAGATCTGGAGACAAAACTATCACAGATCTTTTTACCTATTAGACTTCCTTTTCTGGGATCTTGACTTGCTTCATACTAAACAAGCTTAAGACCCAAATATATTTTGAATTATTTGAATTCATGGCATTTTGCAGGAGGATTGGGAACTTAGTTTGGGGTTTGACACAAATCACATTCAAGAAAACTGTGAGAACTTTTATATAATTTTAAATTTGCAGTGTCTATTATTTCTTTCACTCACAGCCCTGTATAATTAGATTCAATATAGTTAAGGCAGTTATTTAAGAATAGCTCCTATGCTATGTTACTTAACCTCTACCTGCCAGAACCTAGAATATTCCAAGACTGATTTCTGCAATGCCTATGTGGTCAAGAATTTACAATGCACCATGAAAAAAAGGTTTCCTGGCACTTCCTCAGGAAGTGCTTAGTAACTCACTCATGCTCACATAATGCAGCCGTCCTCAATTCACTATGACTGTACCGTGTTCATGTGCATCTGTGTCTGAAAGAAACTAAGGTGACACATAACTGCAGTAAAACCTTTCATTACTATGATTTCCTTTTGTTAAAAGTCTGCTTTCATAGCAGTGACCAGAATAGATGTTCCATGCAATAGAACGACCTGCTGCTTCTTGTAGTCCCTTGTTTCCCCACCTCTAGTCACAAGAAGATAGTTAAGCAGTATCTGCGTAACTACATTTTGATGTATTGACAGGCATGTCTATCCCTAACAACATCAATCCATATTCTTTTAAACAAATTCCCATGTTTCAAATACACAAGCAATATAATCAGGACAAAAGTAGGTGTCCGTCTATCACTACTGCACGTTAGCACAGTTCTGTAAAGCAGCAAAGAGCTGGAAAAAGTGAGGCAGGGATCTCATCATAGTGATCCTTGTAGTAAATTGTTACTTTTTCAGTAGAAAATCATTTTTAATTTTTCATCATTTCCTAAAAATTATGAAGTCTCAGCAGTTCAAGACTTCACTGCTGTACTGTCCCTATCCTTAGCATGGTACTTGAGGTAGGTAAAGGCCTGCATTTGGAGCAGAATGCCAGGCCTGCTTTTAGACCATGATGAGACTTTACTTTCGTAAACATGACTGAGTATCCATGTTCAAGAAATGTTTAAATGTGTGTGGTATGTAGTGTAGTTTTTAAAATAAGTCCTTAGTCAGGACAACCAGTTCTCCTCTGTCATACTTCATGCCACTTCAAGCCATCCCAAGGGAGAACGGCTGGTTCCACATCTTCAGGTACTTAAAATCAGAGCTCTGAAGTACAGTATAACTAAGACATGTTGCCAAATGGCTAAATGTAGCAGCTGTAGTAAATCAAAAGGCTGATGTAAATAACCACAGCATTTAGGTTCTCTTAAGCATGGCAGGTAATCATCAATTTTGCGCACAGATTCAGCGCTTAAGCTTTACATCACTGCTAATCAGTACTTCACAGTAGGTACTGCACAAAGGTAAAGCTTCTCATTACATTGTTCCCTAAGGTAACACAGGTCAACAAGCCCAGCTTCTCATTACAGCTTCTCATCTGCACAAGCTGCACTCCTAGGATATCCATTTTCCTAGGATAAAAGGCTGGGATGGAGCCACTCCAGCCATGAAGACAGAAAGGGAAGAAAAAAGACCCAAACCAGCAGCTTCAGTTGCTGCGCTGCTGATCAGACTCCAAACTGACTCCAAATCCATGTGATGTACCATCATCTAGAAAGACTTGAGCAGATGATGTGCTCCTCATGCATTGCCTGTCAGTCATTTTCATTCCCAGCAGTACCTCTGTAAGTAAATAGCATGCAGCAGTCTGTAAGTAAATAGCATGCAGCAGTCTGCAGTTCTGTAATGTGTGTAATGTGGCTGGAATGCTCACAGCTTGCAGCACTGGGTTATGCTAATCCTCCCACAGCAGGTAAGGTACTATTTGCTATGATAATGTGTTTGCTGCTATGTATGAAATAGTGCATTGCAGCTTTGGACACAAGAGTGCTGCAGCAAACAAGCCAGTGGGAGAACCCCAACAGCTCCGTGTGTGAGGGGGTGCATGAAAAATCTGCTTGTGGAGAGGCTTCAAATCTGCAGCTGCACCACTGGTGCATGGGATTCGATGACCCTCCCCAAGGGACTAAGGACCCAAAGATGTGGATTCCTCACGTTGCTGGAGGGCAGTTTATATGGTTAACAATTCTGGAACACATTATTAAAATATAAGCAGAGTAAGCTTCATTTAAATACAGCCACACCCTCATGCAAAGAACTGGCCCTCATTCCATTCTCCCACCACCTGGCATGCCCTGGCCTCTGCAGCCATTATTAAGAGATTTGCATTTCTGGGAAACTGCAACACTGACTTCTTTCACATCACTCTGTCTTTTAAAGTCCACATATGACTGGCAAAGTGTTTACCAGCAAGAAAACCAAGAAAGCTTTTTAAGTCTCCAAAGTTAATAAAGTACAGCTTGGAGCTTTGAGTTTCTGCACCAGTAAAGATGATTCCACAAGCCCAATGGGAGGAGATGGCTATTTTAATCATCCTGTAGTTGCTTAAGGATAGGTTCCCTTCTTGATTTAGAATGCTCTCAACTCAAAACACTAAGCCATAAATACATTTGGAGCTGAGGCTGAAGAAGAGTTAATATTCATCTTGTTTTATTTTAAAATACACCTTTAGACCTCTTGATGTGTAGCAGGCATCAGTGAGTCACTCGAGACAGTTTAAAGATATTTTGGAAAAAGCTGCAAAGTAATTTTTGGGGTTTGTTTTTCTTTTTTTCTTTTTTTTTTTTTTTTCCAGTCACAAGCAGACTTGGCATAGTCACTTGTTTTTGTTTGTAACAGGACAGCTAGAGAGCTGCATAGACATTAATGAGCATATCACACCCCTCAGCTACACAGACACCCCAGGAGAAATTAAAGGACCTGTAGTCTGACTCCACCAGCCATCTGGTGATGGCCAATCTAGAGAAGTGGTGACAAAGGGCCGTAGCACTCATCCTCTGTGCACAGAGGA